GACCTCTACGGTGACGGTGGGCTTGGGCTCCTCCTCCTCCTCCTCTTCCTCTTCAGGGACCTCGACCTCTACGGTGACTGTGGGCTTGGGCTCCTCCTCTTCCTCCTCAGGGACCTCGACCTCCACGGTGACGGTGGGCTTGGGCTCTTCCTCTTCCTCCTCAGGGACCTCGACCTCGACGGTGACTGTGGGCGTGGGCTCCTCCTCTTCAGGGACCTCGACCTCCACGGTGACGGTAGGCTTGGGCTCTTCAGGTTCAGGAAGTTTGACTTCAATTGTCACTCCAGCAGTGTCTTCCTCCTGGCAATGTAAACGGGATATACTTAAAGAAAGATGTACTAAAAAAATTGAATGCACATGAAACGTAATGTTGGTGGCGTACCTCTGGCTCTTCCTCCTCAGGGACCTCGACCTCGACGGTGACAGTGGGCGTGGGCTCTTCCTCCTCAGGGACCTCGACCTCGACGGTGACGGTGGGCTTGGGCTCTTCTTCCTCAGGGACCTCGACCTCCACAGTGACGGTGGGCTTAGGCTCTTCCTCCTCAGGGACCTCAACCTCTACAGTGACTGTGGGCTTGGGCTCCTCCTCTTCCTCCTCAGGGACCTCGACCTCTACGGTGACTGTAGGCTTGGGCTCCTCCTCCTCCTCCTCCTCAGGGACCTCGACCTCGACGGTGACTGTGGGCGTGGGCTCTTCCTCCTCAGGGACCTCGACCTCTACGGTGACAGTAGGCTTGGGCTCTTCAGGCTCAGGAAGTTTGACCTCAATTGTCACTCCAGCAGTGTCTTCCTCCTGGCAATGTAAACGGGATATACTTTAAGAAAAATGTACTAAAAAAATAGAATGCACATGAAATGTAATGTTGGTGGCGTACCTCTGGTGCTTCCTCCTCATCAACATCGGGTGTCTCAACTACCACTGTAACTTCAGCACCATCCTCCTGGTAAAAGATAATATATACATACATGTAATAGGGAAAAATATAAATTGAAAAACATCAGTGTCAATATTATGTTAATGGCGCACCTCAGGTGTTTCCTCTTCCTCCTCTTCCTCTTCCTCAGCCGGAGTCTCAACCACCACAGTGGCGTCAGCCTTTTCCTCTTCACCAGCATCCACCTGAACTGTAACAGTGACAGCTTCTGGCGCGGCAGTCGTAGTGGTTTCACCCTGGACTTCTACTGTGACTTCAACATTTCCAGAATCGTCTTCACTTGGCTTGGTGTTGATGACAATAACGTGTTCCTTGGGAGTTGAGTCATCGTCGTCGTCGGCTCCGTTGACGACAATGTTGATAACCTGCTCAGCATCTGAGTCCGTGGCATCAGTCAGGTCTTCAGTGGTCACTGTGGTCGTTGTGTTGCTCGCTTCGTCGCCTAAAACAATACCAACAATTCCAAGACGACTGGCCAGCTGGCCCAGGGTGCCACTAAGGCCTCCGACGTTGGCAAGGGCTGAGTTGTCACCTTGCTTGTAGACGGTGACCTCCCCCTCTGCTGGCGCCGGGGCGGCCTAAAAAGAGAAAAACGTGTCGAGCAATTAGTAGGGCACATAATTTGTTCATAAAAATTAACTTGTTTACAATGAAAATCGCTCTGGTCATCTCTTTCTTTTGCTATTTCCTTAATTATTACTCACTTTTGAATTTTCCCACTCTAAGCGGGATTGCCCAAACCTGAGACATAACCTTGGTTTAAACTAGCTCAAAAGCGCCCGACATTATTTAATCCTTTTGTGTGTCACTGTTGTCAAATGTCATACTTGACCTTTACCATGATGTGAAATACTTACCAAGGCCACTCCGATGACGAAGAGAACTCCGATAACCTGGGTCCAACTGATCATTCTACTATGGCTGACACTTGTAGCAGTGTGACCCACCGTCTCTGCGGTCTTATATACCTTACGCGCACGCCAGGTTTCTTTGGTTGACACAGGTGAAGGTGTTTGCGCCTATGGCACACCCACAACGCAGTATTCATTGTAGCAAGGGCGAATGTGTGTAATTTTGACATTTTGCGAAACTTTCCGAGAGGAAATGTTTTCATTTCTGTTTTATATTCTATGTTATATCTCGTATTTTCATTTGTTTTTGTAATAATATTATTTTATTGGACTTTGCCTTGGCCCAACTACTGTCGTTTGCAGTGACGTCCGTTTAAACAGGTGTACAACGGCGTTTCAGCGACTTGTGAGGTCACATGGCTGGTGTATGACGGTAATTTTCGCGATATCGCAAAATAATAAGACAGAAGCTGTGGACAACGTTGTGAGACATTGCTCACGGGTTGCGGAAACAAAGAACAAACGGCCACTTTTCTCTGTGTGTCGTCTGCACGGGGTCTCGACGGAAAATTTGTAAATATAGATGCGCCTTGACGAGGCCTCTACACTCATCAACGCCAAAATGCGAAAAAAGCGACAGATAATACTGGATTGAGTCGTTACCTCCTAACTTCTGATAATAATTACGGCAGATACAATCAAACATTCTCGAGCTCGAAACTGGTCACGACTTTCTTGGTTCGCGCAGCATCATGGTGGTGTGCCGAAAAAACCAAAACAAAAAAAAAGCCAAACTGACTCTCGTCATAAAAATGTCGAAAGGACCAAAGGCGAGCTCGGAGGACGATTCTATTGATATGGATCGCGACCAGCTGCCCCCCCCCCCCCCCTTTCCTCTCTTTATCCTCTCGACGCCGCGGGCGTCACAGGTGCGGGGTGTGGAAGGGTGGCGGCACCGCGTTATTAGAGGCCAAAGTCGCCGCGTGACTCGGCGCACGGCCGCCAGAGTGCGCTCGCGGCGTGCGCAACTTTTCACCTTTTTTTCACCTTTTCTCGATGGCACAGCAATTATACGCCCTTGACCGAACCCTGAGTCCGCGTCTCTCCCACGCGCGGGGATTCTTTTAAAGAGCGGCGACAATCGTGCTTCTGCGTAGTAGTACTCTTTGTCGTTTTCGCGCGCAGTCTCCTTGCTGCAAATTTGCAAAGGAAATGTTCCAAAACTGATTGAAATTTTATTTTGGTACGTTTGTAAGGTCAATATTTTTTTTATCCGTGCTACACTCTCCACTTGGGCGTGACATCTCTTATAGTCGCATCGCCGTCACACCTCGTCGCAACTTCTTAAACTTTAGTCACAGTCCTGTCGGTCACAGTCCGCGGCGCTCAACGTGGAGCTGGGCTAGCTGCCGTTGTCGCTCTCGATTGTCTCGTCCGCGACGATAACTCTATCCAGGACTACACTGTTGGACCTAACAAAACTGTTCTAAATAAAACGGAAGATAACTTAACCTATAAACAGGACAAACACAGTGTGTTTGTCGTGCGTGTGTGTGTGTGTACTCTTTCATTTAGTTTGAAAAATGAACTTCGTGTACTGTTAACTGTTGCGACTCGGTTGGTCGCCCAGGGACTTTGAAGGTTGACAGGGCACGAATCGTTTTTATGATCGTTTTGTGAAGCTCGCCACAAGTCCGCATGCGGGCCGCCGGTCCACTTATCGTAACGTGCGTCCGAGGGGCAAAACGTATCTTGATGCTTTCCAGTCTTTAAAATATCGAGTTTGATGTTTATTGCTTTTCCCTGGGGGCATTCGATTCGGGGCCAAACAAGTCGCCTCCCTCGTGCGGGCATGTGGCTGAACTCTTTACACGCATCTGCCCCGCACTTTCTGCGCCGCGATGTATATATTTATCAAAAACCCAGAAACAGCAGAAAATTCCTAAGTCTTGGTTCGTCGAATATCGGCGTGGCGGGGCACAAATGCAAGTACAGTACGGGACGCAGTGCCGCCGGCCCCGCCGCGGCGTGGCGTCCTGGGGTCCACCGAGCCGGCATCCCGGAGGCAATAAACACGAAGCCCCACTCAGCGCCGGGAAGAGCCTCACGAATGAAGACATTAAAATTAACGTGCGCGCCACGCCTCACCTCGCCTCGACCAACCTCACCTCACCCTGCCCCCCCCCCCTCTTTTCCTCTCTCCCTCACTTCTCTTGGCCGATCGCTCCATCTCGCGCGCGCTTTCGTTTCGCGATGAAAATCAGATATCTGGATACTGATTGACGCGCGGCCCGTATATGCAAAACCAGATCCGATAGAGCTCAGCAGCAAATCGACTTGCTTTTCTCGCTTTTAAATTCGTCTAGTGGTGGGTTTTCCGAAAAAAAAAA